ATTGTAATCAGGCGGTGAGAGCGTTTGTTTATGGTGAAAGGCAAATTACGGTTCAGTTCTGGATTTTAAAACAGCCTAGTAGTGCTGTTTTAATCCTTAAACACCATTGCTTCCAACCAAACTCTAGGGGAAGCAGGTTAAAAAATTCTGTTCTTCACAGCCTCGGTATTGTACCTTGTTGAACAGCAATATACCATCATTAATTCATAAGAAGAGATGTCCAATAACCTTAATTAAACATTAAGTGTGAATGCATTATCTGCTCTGTTCTCATTACAGGTTATTCAGAGTATATTACCCGGCGTAATGTTGACTGACTAGTAATAAATACTTAACAGAACTTAATTTAATAGAATCTGACGAGCTCAGACAAGGGTGGAGATGGAGGTGCGTCTCCGGTGGATTATTCTCGTTCCACTCCTGACGGCAGGAGCCACTCAGGACGAGTCCTCCGTGGGCCCCACGCAGCGAGCTCACCAGTGAGGGGTGTCTGTGGCAGCGCTAGGCCTGGGTCATGCTTCACCACGGAGCGAAACACATGGCTGACCCCATCTCTTCCACACCTGCGCAGGACCAGTCCCGCCCACGGCCCTCTCGCAGCAGCCCGCCGACGAGTTTCCCCGCCTTCGGCACAGACATCCTGCCGGCTGCCTCCAGCGGTGCAGCGAGTGCTACCAGCCACAGGCATCAGCTGGGTATCTAGTACCGTAAAGGGCAGCAGTGCGGAGAGGTCATCAGGACAGCAGACATCACTTCAAGGGTGTGGGTCTGAATCCTGTGTGGAGCACTGCTCCTGTGCCCTTATCTCACTCAGAGAGTAAAATGCCTGCCTGTGTAAAAACTGCAGTGGATGAAAGTGTCAACAAATACATGAAAAATAAAAGCAGCTTAGGTAACTGGAGTAAATTAATTTTAATTTTATTATAAGAGCAAAACGACATTTTTTTTTATAAATAGCATCACTTAAGAAAAGCATTTTCATCTAACCAACAAATTCTTGTAAAGAGAACAAACCAAACCGGTTAATTTATTTATTCAACTCAAAGCTTTTACATGCCTTGTAAGCACATTATCAGTCCCTAGATTGAATTCCTTTACAAATAAAACACAATATGGATAACAATGTTCAAGGCACAGAGCTGAATTTCAAATCTTACGCTGCAGCACTGCTAAAGGTCACTCGATTAATATTTATTGTGCACATCAGGATTTTAAGTTACCGTCTCTAAAATATTGCAGGAAAGTTGAAAGAAGCAAAATTCAAATAAAGCCAACTCCAGGCTCAGGAAATTTAATTCATTGTCTCCAGAAAAGCTACTGAACAAAACACACTTGCCAAAATGCTTACATCCTCTTACTCAAGCCAGACTGGCAGATCAGTGCAGAACAGTTTATTTTAAAAAATACGTAAATAAATAAAATTGAGTTAAGACCATCACATATCAGCTTCTGTAGGTAACCGCTAAATGAGTTTGATTTCATTTGCTTTTATGACTTCAATTAAATCTGAAAAGGCTTGCAGCGCTTAGCTGTTCATAAGGTAATTCTGGTCTCGCAATTCAATGACAGTTTCTTCCAGCATAACAATTGCAACTGTATAATCCTTTTGGTTTTACCCTAGTCTGCTTTTTTTAATAGGATAATTTTCGAGCTTTACTTAAACTAACAGGATTTGAATGTAACTGAGACACCATTGGGAGCTGTGCCCACTATGGAGTGTCTCAGCCGAAGAGCTGAGTGGGGGAGAGATTACTGAGGCCTGGTTATTACGGTAACAGATGTGTCATTCCTGTGTGTGCAGAAGTGCAGAGCTCCGACAAAGTCGCTGTAACAAATGCTCTGTCCATGAGGTAGAGGAAGGACCCTGTGCGATCTTCTGAGAGTTTCAGGAGATCAGGAAGAAGGGTGCAAGGGAGAGGAGATCGATGGCTGCGTATTCAAATCGCTGGGCTGACGTCGGAGTCGAGGGGCGAAGGTAGAATATTCCAAGACCAGAGTTTCAGTCCGAAAGAGGATGTCTCAATAGAAAACAGCGAGGTAGGAGCTCCAAGGATAGAGGGCGATACCGAGCGCAGACCTGAGGGTAGTGAGGGTTTAAATATCCCTGGAGTGGAGGGGTTGGTTATGAGTGTGGTGCCGTGATTGGATAATTGATCTGGCGCTTGCTGGAATCACCCATAGCTGTGGTCTGTTTAGCGAGAGGTCATTTGCGCGGTAGAATATGATTGCTGGTGGACGTGACAGAGACATGGCTGTTACTCTGCAGGGATCTCAGTTGAGACAATGAGGTCGGTTGACTCTGCTGTGCGATTGGGGCATCCAGACTGAGCAGCCCCACTCCTCTTTCTCACTGCGGCGCAGTTGAGATCGCCCGTCCCCCAGCCAGGCTCACAGGCCAGGCGAGCAGAAAGTCTGTGTCCGTCCCCTGGCTACTCCGATATCCTGCACCAACGCACAACAGGCTGCTTATACTGACACAAGGGAATCTCCGAGCACCAACTGCACAGATAGCTTCATTAACTGGGTAAATAGTCAATTAAGCCTGAACATGTGTGCAATCGCTGACTAACTGGATTTTGGCTGGTGGGATGAAGGCAGGAGCTCATGCTGTCTCGCGCCACCTCAGAGGGCATCGTTCACCTGCCCAGACGACAGCAGAGGCTGGTTCAGAGGGAAGGCTAACAGGGGCAGAACAACTGACCTAAGCAATTAAAGAATAGGGATCACAGGGCAGAACCCACAAGAACACAGATTGCAGGCACAGCTGTTTCTGTGGGCCCAGGGCACAGCAGCATCCTCAGTCTCTTTACTGAGAACTAGTGTTTTACCACAGTATCACATTTACAGAACCCAGAGGAAGATACACAGAGGGGACAGGAGTACTGCAGGCAGTTGAGTGCTGTTCAGTTGCATGGACAGATTACAACTTGCTCATGGATTTTTAATGAATACTATTAGGCGAGGCTATTACAGAGAACTGGAATTAAACATGTAAATAAAGAGATCATGTTATCTATATAAACTATATAAAGTATGAGCTACAGGTCTCATAACACACGAGCCCTTAGAACAAGCACTGAGCCGGTTGAAGAAGGTGTGCAATTTTGGTCACCATGTTTGAAAAAGATACTGTTGCACTGAAAAACTGTCTAAGAAAAGAAGGCCCTTCTTTACACAGAGTGTTGTGGGAGTGTGGAACTAGCTGCCCAGCCACAGTATATTGTCAAAGCCAATGCCACTGCTTCTCTTAAGAAACTGTTGGATAAGCTCATTGGATCAATTAGTAACTAACAACCAAATGGTCTCTTGTTCGTAACCTTTCCTATATTCTCATGACGTGACCCCCTGGGAACCTGCACTGGGCTGGAAAGGACAGTGCCTCCTGTGACACAAAACAAATCTTGTTGCTGTCCAGGGAGCTGTGCAGCTCTGACACTGAGCTGTCAATCAGATGTGATTGACAGGATCAACAGTAAAACCCAGTAAAATAATGGTAAAGTGCAGTATAGTGGAGCAGTTGTGCTTGTAAAAAATAGCCAATAGAAAACCACAGCAAAGCCCCTGAGTATGAGAATCCTTCATAAGGGATCTGTGCAGTTAATTACTGCTGTGTTTAGTTATCATAAGTGAAGATGAATGTTTGCTCACTGGAGTGGGCACTTATAAAAGGTACACTGAAATCACTCTCTTGAATATAAGGCACTTTGTGTAGATATTTGAGAAATGGTTCTTGTTTGTACAAAAAACAAAATAGCATTTATTTTACAAATCCCTCTTTTTT